GACGGTTTGGGTGATATTTGGAGACAAGATTGGTGATGTAATTTGGGACGGAGTTATAAATGGCTTTATATGTTATTGTTAATGCTTTGAATTTTATCTGTTGGGCAATGGGAAGCCAGTGGAGGGATTGGCAGAGAGGGGTGGCAGAATGGAGGCCAGTGGAGGGATGGCAGAGAGGGGTGGACTGAATGGAGGCCAGTGGAGGCAGAGAGGTGTGGAGGACACTGTGGAGGTGGATTGGCAGAGAGGGGTGGAGAACAGAGTGGAGGTCAGTGGAGGGATGGAGAGGGGTGGAGGACACTGAGTGGAGGTCAGTGGAGGGATTGGCAGAGAGGGGTGGAGGACACTGAGTGGAGGTCAGTGGAGGGATTGGCAGAGAGGGGTGGAGGACACTGAGTGGAGGTCAGTGGAGGGATTGGCAGAGAGGGGTGGAGGACACTGAGTGGAGGTCAGTGGAGGGATTGGCAGAGAGGGGTGGAGGACACTGAGTGGAGGCCAGTGGAGGGATTGGCAGAGAGGGGTGGAGGACACTGAGTGGAGGCCAGTGGAGGGATTGGCAGAGAGGGGTGGAGGACACTGAGTGGAGGCCAGTGGAGGAATTGGCAGAGAGGGGTGGAGGACACTGAGTGGAGGCCAGTGGAGGGATTGGCAGAGAGGGGTGGAGGACACTGAGTGGAGGCCAGTGGAGGGATTGGCAGAGAGGGGTGGAGGACACTGCGTGGAGGCCAGTGGTGGACTGAGTGGCCAGTGGATTGGCAGAGAGGGATGGCACATATGGGATGGTTAGTAAGGTGGATGTGTCTGGCAGCGGCATTCATGATAGACTGAAGAGGGGATAGCCTGGGATGAGGTCGGCCAATGAGGAGGGAGTTACAATAGTCAAGGCAAGAGATAACAAGGGAGGGAATAAGTTGCTTGGTGGTTTCTGAGGTTAGGAACGGCTGTATCATGGGGCCCCCGGGCAATAGGGGATCATGGGGCCCCTGTGTCCTCGCCCACACTCAAACCACACCCAAAAAAGCCTATGAAAGGTGCCTGGGGGATCTCATTGGGCACCCTACTGATCCCGGGCCCTCAGACAGTACCCGAGTACTCGAATGGTCAGTCCGCCCTGGTGACATCCATGCTGATATGTCACTTAGTAGGTTAGTAATGCGAGAGGAGACTGAAGGGGCGAGGTGAGGGGTAGAAAGTTAGATTTGTGTGTCATCAGCATAGAGGTGAGTATTTGGGGTATTTGGTAGCAAATTTAAGGGTACTTGAAAATATTTCTATAATGGCTGTCAGGTTGGTGATTAAGGTCTTAAGTCTGACCATTTAGTATGCAGAATAAAAAGTTACGGCAGGAGGTAAGTGTCTGCAGACGTTCCACAGAGCCTCATTATCCAACACTCATTCTATAGTACTAGCTGTCGGCCACGTAACCAGTTCCTGGTGGATTCATTGACACTCTGCCTCTCTTAAGAGCAGATGCTCTCTCTGCGATCTGGAGCAAAAGAGGAAGTGGCGTAGAATGTAGACTGTGAGTCCTGAGTTACATATCAGTTGGCTTGACCTACCTCTCTTCAGGGCCACAGCTGCTGCCAGTCCATTAGGGTGCCTCCATCAGATGAGAGTCGTTCTGCAGCATGGATTCCCTTCACTACTCTCTCCATGAAGTACTTAAAGAACTGCTATAGTCCACCCTGAACTGCCACATACTGTACCCTTGCTCCATCTCCTCCGTGGCCCTGCTCATGGAGGAATGCCCAGCCCTTCAAATGAAAGTGGCCCCAATAACCAGATCCAGATAATCCCATTGACACTGACGCACTGGTATTTTTTCCTCCCACTGTTAGTTGAATTGGCCCCTCACTTTACTCCCAACTTCTGTACCACCTCCCAATTGAGGGGCACAACTTACACAAATCAGCTGCCAAAGGGTACCCAAGTGAAAAAAGGTTTGGAACCACTGGTCTACTATAACATCCAACTGGACTGATCATGGGGAGTGGGTGGGCTAAATGTAAACTGATCTTCGAACAGAAGGGGGTACAGGAGGAGAAGCCGATAATGGACTAAGAGAGAGGAACGTGGAGGCAGGATGGGGGCATGGACATGGTGGGACCATGGGGCAGAGTGGAAGTTGGCCATAGCAGGGGTGGTGGTGGGGTAAACATGGAGGGAAAGGTGGTGGTGGTGGGGTCTACCATAGAATGTAGTACGCCAAAGAAGTATATTACAGAGGTTCTGGGAAGTCAACACCCAGGGGCTAACTGACAACTCATGGGGCCCCCGGGCAATAGGGGATCATGGGGCCCCTGTGTCCTTGCCCAAAATCAAAAAAGCCTATGAAAAAGGTACCAGGGGCATCTTATGGGGCCCCCTACTGACCCCGGGCCCTCGGGCAGTGCCCAAGTTTCCAAATGGTCAGTCCGCCCCTGGTCAACACTTATTTGTTCCAGAACATTATAGATCAGAGGTCTCCAAACTTTCTAAACAAAGGGTCAGTTTACTGTCCTTCATACTTTTGGAGGGCCAGACTGTGGCCTGTGTGAGTAGAAATGTTAATGGAGTAAAAAATACACCATCATTGTGTCAGTGGGAGGAATAGTGCCCCATCATTGATGTCAGTGGGAGGAATTGTGCCCCATCATTGGTGTCAGTGGGAGGAATAGTGCCCTATCATTGGTGTCAGTGGGAGGAATAGTGCCCTATCATTGGTGTCAGTGGGAGGAATAGTGCCCCATCATTGGTGTCAGTGGGATGAATAGTGCCCCATCATTGTGTCAGTGGGAGGAATAGTGCCCCATCATTGGTGTCAGTGGGAGGAATAGTGCCCCATCATTTGTGTCAGTGAGAGGAATAGTGCCCCATCATTGGTGTCAGTGGGAGGAATAGTGCCCCATCATTGGTATCAGTGGGAGGAGTAGTGCCCCATCATTGGTGTCAGTGGGAGGAATAGTGCCCCATCATTGATGTCAGTGGGAAGAATAGTGCCCCATCATTGGTGTCAGTGGGAGGAATAGTGCCTCATCATTGGTGTCAGTGGGAGGAATAGTGCTCCATCATTGGTGTCTGTGGGAGGAATAGTGCCCCATCATTTGTGTCTGTGGGAGGAATAGTGCCCATCATTGGTATCAGTGGGAGGAATAGTGCCCCATCATTGGTGTCAGTGGGAGGAATGATACCCCATCATTGGTGTCAGTGGGAGGAATAGTGCCCCATCATTGGTGTCTGTGGGAGGAATAGTGCTCCATCATTGGTGTCTGTGGGAGGAATAGTGCTCCATCATTGGTGTCAGTGGGAGGAATAGTGCCCCATCATTGGTATCAGTGGGAGGAATAGTGCCCCATCATTGGTGTCAGTGGGAGGAATAGTGCCCCATCATTGGTGTCAGTGGGAGGAATAGTGCCCCATCATTGGTATCAGTGGGATGAATAGTGTCCCATCATTGGTATCAGTGGGAGGAATAGTGCCCCATCATTGGTATCAGTGGGAGGAATAGTGCCCCATCATTGGTGTCAGTGGGAGGAATAGTGCTCCCATCATTAGTGTCCGTGGGAGGAATAGTGCCCCATCATTGGTATTACTGGCCCGACATCAGTGGGAGGAACCCAAGGACCAGATAAAGGCAAGCAAAGGGGCTTGCCACAGTTTGGTCTTTAAAAGATTGTGACTTTCTCTCTCACTGCTGTAGGATTCAGCCTCCAGGATAGAATGCACCACTGAACGCATGGGCCTCCTCTAAAACCTCACCTCGGTGGAGATATGTTTTTGTCATAGGAGTCCCCATCCCCACCATACGTTGTCCCCTCAGCCGTGTCCACAATGCTAAGCACTCTGCCTACCATTGAGTTGCACCTCTTTCCCCCACCACAACTACAGTATGCTGCCATGAATTGGTGCCAAGAAAGGAAATTTATGGTCAGCATTTGATACAATTTTTGTTTTCCCGGTGCCAACATGTCAGCATACATATGGCAGCTGCACCATCTACCACATGTATGCTGCCATGGATTGGTGCCAGGAAAGGAAGATTACGGTAGATATTTGATACACTTTTTCTCTGGTGCCAACATGGTGGCATACATGTGTTAGTAGTGCCACCTTCCATATGTATGCTGCCATGGATTGGCACCAGGAAAGAGAAATTATGGTAAGTATTTGATACAGTTTTCCATTCTGTATTATACAAGGGGGGGGGGGGGGTACAGCTCACCAGTCTAGGTCATGGCTGAGATTCATCATGTGTTGTGAGAAACTGGTCAGGGCTGATCACACATACCAGGGCTGTACTAAATGCGTTGGTGGAATCCCTAGTAAAAGTTGCCATCTATTCCATCTTGTGAATGAAATATGAAAAGAAGGAAGTATGGATAATATTTGAGAATCTATTTGTAGATCAAATGGCTAGCAGGGCTGAGTCCTTGCTGTGAGCTCTCCTAAAAATTAGTTGGTGTCATAAGCATGCATTCCGGGCCCACCAGATGGTTTGTTGAACATTTCTGGAACCCTCATGGTCCCCTTTCCTTCCTCTAACCATTCAGCAATGTTCTCTGCTGTATCTTCTAGGCCTTCCAGAAAGAACTGGGGAAGAGAGCCAGCTCCATGAAGACCCTGAAACACTCCGTCCGAGACCTGAGTCGTGGAGGTGTCGGCACTGACTCTCATTGGCTGCAGAGACAGATGGAGGAGCTGGGCCATCGCTGGGACGTGGTGTGTCAGCTGTCTGTCACAAAGCAAGCCAGGCTGGAGGCTTCTCTGCAGCAGGTCAGTATGTGTCCAGGGGGTATGAAGACGGACTCTTCGATTGTCCACAGGAATGTCTCAACATAACTGCAAACGAAGAATGCTTTCAGAAATCGAAGTGTTCATAGTTTATATTTTATCAATGAACAAAATGGAAAGTAAATGAGCAGAAGAGAAATCCAAATCAAATCAATGGTTGGTGTGAGCGCCCTTTGCCTTCAAACCAGCATCAGTTCTTCTAGGTAGACTTGCACACAGTTTTTGAAGGAACTTGGCAGGTAGGTTGTTCCAGAGATCTTGGAGAACTAACCGCAGATCTTCTGTGGATGTCGGCTGCCTCCAATCCTTCTGTCTCTTCCCAGACAGACTCCATGATGGTGAGATCAAGGCTCTGTGGGGGCCAAACCATCACTTCCAGGACTCCTTGATCTTCTTTACACTGAACGTTCTTAATGACATTGGCTGAACCACATTGTGGTCGTTACCCTGCTTAAGAATACATTTTGGGCCAATCATGATGGATAAGTATCTGTCTATATTTGTCAGCATTGAGGACACCATTGATCCTGACCAAATATCCAAATCCATTTGCAGAAGTGCAGCCCCAAAGTTGCAAGGAACCTCCACCATACTTCACAGTTGCCTGCAGACACTCACTTTAGTACAGGTCTACAGCCCTTCGCCAACAAACTGCCTCCTGCTGCAGCCAAATATTTCACATTTTGACTCATCAGTCCAGAGCACCTGCTGCCATTCTTCTGCACCCCACTTCCTATGTTTTCTTGAATAGTTGAGTTTCTTAGCCTGGTTTCCATGTTGGAAGTTTGATTCAATAGCTACAATTCTTACATGAAGACCAGTTCTGGCCAAACTTCTACGGACAGTAGATGAGTGTATCTGCGTCCCACTGATTTCCACCAGTTCTGTACTCATGGCACTGCTGGACATCTTCCCATCTTGAAGGGAAGTAATCATGATATGTCTTTCATCTGCTGCATTAAAGTGTTACTAAACCCCGGACCCTGCATTCACTATATCCGCTCTCCCCGGACCCCTGCATTCACTATATCCGCTCTCCCCCGGACCCTGCATTCACTATATCCGCTCTCCCTGGACACTGCACTCACTATATCCGCTCTCCCCGGACCCTGCATTCACTATATCTGGTCTCCCCCGGACCCTGCATTCACTATATCCGCTCTCCCCCAGACCTCGCATTCACTATATCCCGCTCTCCCCCCGGACCCCGCGGTCACTATATCCGCTCTCCCCGGACCCGGCATTCACTATATCCGCTCTCCCCGGACCCGGCATTCACTATATCCGCTCTCCCCGGACCCCGCATTCACTATATCCGCTCTCCCCAGACCATGCATTCACTATATCCGCTCTCCCCGGACCCCGCATTCACTATATCCACTCTCCCCCCGGACCCCTCATTCACTATATCCGCTCTCCCCGGACTCCTCATTCACTATATCCGCTCTCCCCGGACCCTGCATTCACTATATCCGCTCTCCCCGGACCCTGCATTCACTATATCCGCTCTCCCCCCGACCCCGCATTCACTATATCTGCTCTACCCGGACCCTGCATTCACTATATCTGGTCTCCCTGGACCCTGCTTTCACTATACCCGGTCTCCCCAGACCCCGCATTCACTATATCCACTCTCCCCGGACCCCGCATTCACTATATCCGCTCGCCCCGGACCCTGCATTCACTATATCTGGTCTCCCTGGACCCTGCTTTCACTATATCCGCTCTCCTCGGACCCCGCATTCACTATATCCGCTCTCCCCGGACCCTGCATTCACTATATCCTCTCTCCCCGGACCCTGCATTCACTATATCCGCTCTCCCCGGACCCTGCATTCACTATATCCGCTCTCCCCGGACCCCTGCATTCACTATATCCGCTCTCCCCCCAGACCCTGCATTCACTATATCCGCTCTCCCTGGACCCCGCATTCACTATATCCGCTCTCCCCGGACCCCGCATTCACTATATCCGCTCTCCCCGGACCCCGCATTCACTATATCCGCTCTCCCCGGACCCCGCATTCACTATATCCGCTCTCCCCCCGGACCCCGCATTCACTATATCCGCTCTCCCCCAGACCCTGCATTCACTATATCCGCTCTCCCCGGACCCCGCATTCACTATATCCACTCTCCCCCCCGGACCCCTCATTCACTATATCCGCTCTCCCCGGACTCCTCATTCACTATATCCGCTCTCCCCGGACCCCTGCATTCACTATATCCGCTCTCCCCGGACCCCGCATTCACTATATCTGCTCTCCCCCGGACCCCGCATTCACTATATCTGCTCTCCCCCGGACCCTGCATTCACTATATCTGGTCTCCCTGGACCCTGCTTTCACTATATCCCGGTCTCCCCGGACCCTGCATTCACTATATCCGGTCTCCCCGGACCCCGCATTCACTATATCCACTCTCCCCGGACCCTGCATTCACTATATCTGGTCTCCCCGGACCCTGCTTTCACTATATCCGCTCTCCCTCGGACCCCGCATTCACTATATCCGCTCTCCCCCCGGACCCCGCATTCACTATATCCGCTCTCCCCCCCGGACCCTGCATTCACTATATCCGCTCTCCCCGGACCCTGCATTCACTATATCCGCTCTCCCCGGACCCTGCATTCACTATATCCGCTCTCCCCGGACCCCGCATTCACTATATCCGCTCTCCCCAGACCCTGCATTCACTATATCCGCTCTCCCCGGACCCCTCATTCACTATATCCGCTCTCCCCCCCCCCCGGACCCCGCATTCACTATATCCGCTCTCCCCGGACCCTGCATTCACTATATCTGGTCTCCCTGGACCCTGCTTTCACTATACCCCGGTCTCCCCAGACCCCGCATTCACTATATCCACTCTCCCCCCGGACCCCGCATTCACTATATCCGCTCTCCCCGGACCCCGCATTCACTATATCCACTCTCCCACAGTATACAGAACATGGAAATGCAATTATTTTTAGTAAATATAAACTTCTAAATACCTTTTCTCATCAGCAGTATATAGCAGTCTTGTGACTTCTATCAGTGTCCAGCTGAGCACTAGCTAAAGCATGTAGGAGGAGTTTTTATTGTCTACTGATTGTCCTGTGAGGCTGCAGGACCCCTGACCCTCTGTCTGGACAGTGCTGATTGGTCCTGTGCTGATCACTTGCACCCTCCAAAGAAAAAAAAAAAAAAAACCTCTCTAGCAATACACAGCAAACTGAGCATGTACAGCTTGCCTCCAAGGCTCTGTGCTTTCAGCAGATGGATTGGGGACAGTAGAAGAAGGGGAGGATCAGAGAAGACAGCCTTCTTACCCAATGCAAAGGATTAACCCTTTAGGTTCCACAGTGAGTATAACCAGCACGCTTTACTGCATCTACTGACTGATTGGACTGTTGTGGGTTTAGTAACACTTTACATTTCCTTGGCTGATCACTGTGTCTGTAGTCCTCAACACTGCCAGGTTCTTTGTGCTTCTTCAGAAGACTTGATGAATTGATTGATGCTGGTTTACAGTCAAAGGGTGAGCACATCAAATATTGATTTGATTTAGATTCTTCTTCCGTTCGCTCACTCTCCGTTTTGTAAATTGATAAAACATAAACAACGAAAATATATATATTTTCTGAAAGAATTCTTACTTTACAGCATTTCTTCACACCTGCCTATAACTTTTGCACAGGACCATAGTTGGTATAGAACAGTGGTCTCCAAACTGCCGGATGCGGCCCTTTCCTTGCTAGTATCTGGCCCTTGGGGCACTATTTAATCCACTGACACCAACAAATTCCTCCCAGTGATACCAACGATGGGGCACAATTCCAAAGAATGACACCAATGATGGGGCACAGTTCATCCCAGTGATACCAAGAATGGAGCCCACTGACACCAACCATGGGGCACAGTTCATCCCAGTGATACCAAGAATGGAGCCCAATGACACCAACGATGGGGCACAGTTCATCCCAATGATACCAAGAATGGAGCCCAATGACACCAACCATGGGGCACAGTTCATCCCAATGATACCAAGAATGGAGCCCACTGACACCAACCATGGGGCACAGTTCATCCCAAGGATACTAAGAATGGAGCCCACTGACACCAACCATGTGGCACAGGTCATCCCAATGATACTAAGAATGGAGCCCAATGACACCAATGATGGTGCACAATTTCTCCCAACGACACCAACGATGGGGCACAGTTCATCCCAATGATACCAAGAATGGAGCCCAATGACACCAACGATGGGGCACAATTCCAACCAATGACACCAAACAATGGGGCACAGTTCATCCCAATGATACCAATAATGGAGCCCAATGACACCAATGATGGGGCACAGTTCATCCCAATGATACCAAGAATGGAGCCCACTGACACCAACCATGGGGCACAGTTTATCCCAATGATACCAAGAATGGAACCCAATGGCACCAATGATGGGGCACAATTTATCCCAACAACACCAATGATGGGGCACAGTTCATCCCAATGATACCAAGAATGGAGCCCAATGACACCAATGATGGGGCACAGTTCATCCCAATGATACCAAGAATGGAGACCACTGACACCAACCATGGGGCACAGTTTATCCCAATGATAATAAGAATGGAGCCCAATGACACCAATGATGGGGCACAATTTATCCAAACGACACCAATGATGGGGTACAGTTCATCCCAATGATACCAAGAATGGAGCCCACTGACACCAATGATGGGGCACAGTTCATCCCAATGGTACCAAGAATGGAGCCCAATGACACCAATGATGGGGCAAAGTTCATCCCAATGATACCAAGAATGGAGCCCAATGACACCAATGATGGGGCACAATTTATCCCAATGACACCCAACGATGGGGCACAGTTCATCCCAATGATACCAAGAATGGAACCCAATGACACCAATGATGGGGCACAGTTCATCCCAATGATACCAAGAATGGAGCCCAATGACAGTAACGATGGGGCACAATTCTAACCAATGACACCAACGATGGGGCACAGTTTATCCCAATGATAAGAAGAATAAAGCCCAATGACACCAATGATGGGGCACAATTTATCCAAACAACACCAATGATGGGGCACAGTTCATCCCAATGATATCAAGAATGGAACCCAATGACACCAACGATGGGGCACAGTTCATCCCAATGATACCAAGAATGGAGCCCAATGAAACCAACGATGGGGCACAATTCCAAACAATGACACCAACGATGGGGCACAGTTCATCCCAATGATACCAAGAATGGAGCCCAATGACACCAATGATGGGGCACAATTTATCCCAACGACACCAATGATGGGGCACAGTTCATCCCAATGATACCAAGAATGGAGCCCAATGACACCAATGATGGGTCACAGTTCATCCCAATGATACCAAGAATGGAGCCCACTGACACCAACCATGGGGCACAGTTTATCCCAATGATAATAAGAATGGAGCCCAATGACACCAATGATGGGGCACAATTTATCCCAAATGACACCAATGATGGGGTACAGTTCATCCCAATGATACCAAACAAGAATGGAGCCCAATGACACCAATGATGGGGCACAATTTATCCCAACGACACCAATGATGGGGCACAGTTCATCCCAATGATACCAAGAATGGAGCCCAATGACACCAATGATGGGTCACAGTTCATCCCAATGATACCAAGAATGGAGCCCACTGACACCAACCATGGGGCACAGTTTATCCCAATGATAATAAGAATGGAGCCCAATGACACCAATGATGGGGCACAATTTATCCAAATGACACCAATGATGGGGTACAGTTCATCCCAATGATACCAAGAATGGAGCCCAATGACACCAACGATGGGGCAAAATTCCAACCAATGACACCAACAATGGGGCACAGTTCATCCCAATGATACCAAGAATGGGGCCCAATGACACCAATGATGGGGCACAGTTCATCCCAATGATACCAAGAATGGAGCCCAATGACACCAACGATGGGGCACAATTCCAACCAATGACACCAACAATGGGGCACAGTTGATCCCAGTGATACCAAGAATGGAGCCCAATGACACCAATGATGGGGCACAGTTCATCCCAATGATACCAAGAATGGAGCCCAATGACACCAATGATGGGGCACAATTTATCCCAACGACACCAATGATGGGGCACAGTTCATCCCAATGATACCAAGAATGGAGCCCAATGACACCAATGATGGAGCACAGTTCATCCCAATGATACCAAGAATGGAGCCCACTGACACCAACCATGGGGCACAGTCAGGGGCGGACTGACCATTTGGAAACTCTGGCACTGCCCGAAGGCTCGGGGTCAGTAGGGGGCCCCATGAGATGCCCCTGGTACCTTTTTCATAGGCTTTTTTGAGTTTGGGCAAGGACACAGGGGCCCCATGATCTCCTATTGACCGGGGGCCCCATGAGTTGTCCGCCCCTGACCCCATAGAACACCTTTGGGATGAATTAGAGCGGAGACTGCGAGCCAGGCCTCCTCCCCCCGACATCAGTGCCTGACCTGACAAATGTGCTTCTGGAAGAATGGTCCAACCTTCCCATAGACACCCTCCTAAACCTTGTGGACGGCCTTCCCAGAAGAGTTGAAGCTGTTATAGCTGCAAAGGGCGGGGCCAACTCAATATTGAACCCTACGGACTAAGACTGGGGGGCCATTAAAGGTCATGTGTGGGGAAAGGGCGGGGAACCAACTCATTATATTGAACCCAACTACGGACTAAGACTGGGGGGCCATTAAAGGTCATGTGCGTGGAAAGGGCGGGGCCAACTCAATATTGAACCCTACGGACTAAGACTGGGAGGCCATTAAAGGTCATGTGCGTGGAAAGGGCGGCCGACCAATACTGGGGGCAATATAGTGTCTATACTGTACAGCTATGCAAGATCTCCTGGATCAGTGGACAAGTGATGAGGGGTGTTATAAGGAGAAACATCACCAGGGGGCAGCAAAGGTAGAAAAATACAACAGGCTGGAACCTTATTAGATGTTTTTTGGACAATTAACCGCTTGACCTCCGGAAGATTTTACCTCCCTTCATGACCAGGGTAGTTTTGCTGTTCAGCACTGTGCTACCTTAACTGGCAAGTGGTCATGCCACACTGTGCCCAAATTAAAATTGTCATTTATTTCACACAAGTAGAGCTTTTTTTTTGGTGGTATTTGATATCCGCTGTTTTTTTTATTATATAAACAAAAAAAAAGACCAAAAAATGTAAATAAAAAAATATGTTCTACTTTCTGTTATAAAACATAGCCAATAAAATCAAATTTCTTCATAAATTTGAGCCAAAATTTATTCTGCTGCATGTCTTTGGTGCAGGGGCGGACTGACAACTCATGGTGCCCCGGGCAATAGGAAAACATGGGGCCCCTTGTCCTCACCCACACTCAAACCACACCCAAAAAAAGCCTATGAAAGGTACCAGGGGCATCTCATGGGACCCCTACTGACCCTGGGCCCTCGGGCAGTGCCCCGAGTGGCTAAATGGTCAGTCCGCCCCTGCTTTGGTGTCTTATATTAATAGGTTTGTGTGAAAGTTATATGTATATCACAGAAACGCAGAAGATATAGGACTTTACTGGCATTGAAGGGGAACCCATGCGTTATATTGTGTAAAAATACAAATTTTATTCAAAATATCAGAACAACTTTATAAACTGTCTATGATAAAATTGCTCGATATCAATATCATTTGAGCGGTCTGTATTAGTTTCTGTGAAAGTTATAGCATCTACAAACTATGGTATAAATACTGGAATATACGCAGCTATAGAAACTATACTAGTAATGGCGATGATCAGCAACTTGTAGTGTGACTGTGATAGTGTGGTGGGCAATCTGGTGCTAACAGACACTGACTGACTAAATTACACTGATGTCACTAGTGACTAGGGATGCACCGGTACCCTTTTTTGATCGGCGAGTACTGATACTTTAAGGACTCTCCGATACTTTGCATCAATAAAAAATGTAGTACCGCAAAGAATAGCATGTGATTTGAACAGGACCAGGGGCGGACTGACCATTTGGAAACTCGGGCACTGTCCGAGGGCCCGGGGTCAGTAGGGGGCCCCATGAGATGCCCCTGGTACCTTTTTCATAGGCTTTTTTGAGTTTGGGCAAGGACACGGGCCCCATGATCCCCTATTGCCCGGGGGGCCCCATGAGTTGTCAGTCCGCCCCTGAACAGGACATTCTTGTCCAAATCGCATGCGCTTTCCCCACTGCTCCTGTGTGAACCCAGGATTGTAGTACTGGATTTTCCCGATTCGAGGAGGGCTGCACTGCCCACCCTTTCAGTTTGTGTTGTTTACCTTTGGCTTCACCCTGCCAATAAGATGGCGGCCTCTACCATTTGAGAGCGTAAAGTGTCAAGTATCTACTTTGTTTTCTGGGCTTGTCATAGCCTGAGTTCACACAGGAGCGGTGCAGGAAACCCATGCTGTCACAGAAGGAAAAGCTGAGCATTTGAAATCCCTTTGGCGTTCTCTCCTCTCAGTGCAGGGATGACAGTACAGGCTAGGACGGCTTCTGATTGGTCCATACTGTCATCCCTGCAAGAAGAGGAGAGAAAGCCACTTCACAGGTCTGGGGATTTCAAATCCTCATGGGTTTTTCTCCTCTCCTTGCAGGGATGACAGTACAGGCTAGATGGCTTCTGATTGGTCAGCACAGTCATGGTGCTGACCAATTGGATGCCATCTGGCCCATTCTGTCATCCCTGCAGGGAGAGGAGAGAAAGCCACTTCACAGGTTTGGGATTTTTAAATCCTTGTGGTTTTCTCTCCTCTCAGAGCAGGGATGACTGTACAGGCTAGACGGCTTCTGATTGGTCAGTACAATCATGGTGCTGACTAATCGGAAGCCGTCTAGTCCGTACTGTCATTCCTGCAAGGAGAGGAGAGAAAGCCACTTCACAGGTCTGTGATTTCAAATCCTCGCAGCTTTCTCTGCTCTCGGTGCAGGGATGACAGTACGGACTAGACGGCTTCTGATTGGTCAGCACAGTCATGGTGCTGACTAATCGGAAGCCGTCTCATCCGTACTGTGATCCCTGCAAGGAGAGGAGAGAAAAACATTTGAAATCCCCAGACCTGTGAAGCGGCTTTCTCTCCTCTCCTTGCAGGGATGACAGTACGGACTAGACAGCTTCTGATTGGTGAGCACTGTGACTGTGCATTGCCCAGAGGAGTCCAGAAGAGCCCCTGGAATGAATTGTATCCCTGACTGAGAAACTGTTTGTTATTGTTGTCTGCAGGCGGAGGAGTTCCATTCGCTGGTGAGCACCTTCCTGGAGGGTCTGGGTGAGTCTGAACGGACGCTGAGATACGGGGTGATCCCTGAGGATGAGCATGCGCTGCAGGAGTGTCAGAAACAGCAGCAGGTGGGTACCACTGGGGTCACTTACTGCCTCCCTTCAGTACATAGTACACTACTTCTCTTTCCTGTGCTCAGGTAACAATCTGTAGACCCCCCTGGGCAATGATCCATCATTACTATTTACTAGTGTTGGGTTTGATGTAAAAGGTAAAGGGGTACCCTGATGCTAATGAGCCCCCTTCACCGCAGACCCCAACAACCACCGAGCCAGGGTTGTGGGGAAGATGCTTTTGTCCCCATTGGCATGGGCACTCCATCCCTATGCCAAAGGCACGTGGCCTGGTAAGCCGTGAGGGGGGGTGGCGCTCAACCGTCCCCCCCCCCCCCCCACTCCTTCCCCTTCCAGCGCAGCCAGGCCTGTGCTTGGATAAACGGTCTGGTAGGAATTTAGGGGGACCTCACAATTCCCCCCCCCCCCTTTTTATGGGGGTGAGGTTCCCCTTAAAAGTTCTAACAGGCCTAAAAGGCCCGGTAAGGCTTTTAGGGGGAGCCCCACGCACTTTAAAGAAAAAAAAATGCGGGGTCCCTCCTAACCTTCCTACAAGACCTAAAGGGTCTGGTGTGGATTTGGGGGGGACCCCACACTGTTTTTTTTAGTAAAAATGTTCTATACATTGTACAGATGTGCAACTTTTAATTTAAAAGGACCCCCAGGCATGATATTTAAAGGATTTTTTCTTTTTCTTTTTTTACTTTAAGCAATGAAAAATGACTGCCCCTTTAAAAACGGTACTTTTAGAAAAAAAAAAAATGTCACTGATTTGTGTCCCTCGGGGCAGTCCCTGAGTCCCCATAGCCCTTTTATGGCCAACAACTTGCGTAGAAGCCTTCAAAATGGGCACTTTTGAATTTACAAGTTCGAGTCTCATAGACTTGCATTGAGTTCGAAGTTCACGGCCGAACGTTCATTGGGTTCGAACACCCCCGTTCGACCCATCACTACTATTTACCAGCTTCTGCTTTGCTGCATTTCACAAACTAAAACAGCCATTTTCAACCAGGGTTCCTCCAAAGGTTCCTAGGGGGACCTTGAGCTGAGGCTATCTGACCTCCCATCTGATAGTGCCTTCATAGTTCCAAGTCCAATGGCACTTGGCAGAGCCAGTAGCATGACACCATGGATTTTTTTACCTAACAGTAAGGGGGGGCATTCTTCCCAAAGATGACTGATGTAAGGGGCATTTTCCTAATGACCCCCAATGGGCTATTTTTAGCACCTGAAAATTACTTTCAGGGTATCTGACCTCCCATCTGATGGTACCTTCATAGTTCCAAGTTCATTGGCACTTGGTAGAGCCAGTAGCATGACACCATGGATCTTTTTACCTAACAGGATTCTTCTCAATAATGACTGATGTAAGGGGCATTTTCCTAACAGTAAGGGGCCATTTTTAAGCACCTGAAAATTACTTTCAGGGTATCTGACCTCCCATCTGATGGTGCCTTCATAGCTCCAAGGGCATTTTCATGACACCATGGAACTTTTTACCCAGTAAGGTGGGTATTCTTCCCAAAGATGACTGATGTAAGGGACATTTTCCTGACCCCCAATGGGCCATTTTTAGCACCTGAAAATTACTTTCAGGGTATCTGACTTCCCATCTGATGGTACCTTCATAGTTCCAAGTTCATTGGCACTTGGCAGAGCCAGTAGCATGACCCCATGGATCTTTTTACCTAACAGTAAGGTGGGTATTCTTCCCAATGATGACTGATGTAAGGGGCATTTTCCTAAAGACCCCAATGGGCCATTTTTAGCACCTGAAATATACTTTCAGGGTATCTGACCTCCCATCTGATGGTGCCTTCATAGCTCTAAGTCCATTGGCACTTGGCAGAGCCAGTAGCATGACACCATGGATCTTTTTATCTAACTGTAAGGGGGGGCTTTTCTTCCCAATGATGACTGATGTAAGGGGCATTTTCCTAATGACCCCCAATGGGCCATTTTTAGCACCTGAAAATTACTTTCAGGGTATCTGACTTCCCATCTGATGGTACCTTCATAGTTCCAAGTTCATTGGCACTTGGTAGGGCCAGTAGCATGACCCCATGGATCTTTTTACCTAACAGTAAGGTGGGTATTCTTCCCAATGATGACTGATGTAAAGGGCATTTTCCTAATGACCCCAAATGGGCTATTTTTTGCACCTGAAAATTACTTTAAGGGTTCATTTGAGAAAAGGTGGACTAAAGGGTGGTCTCAGCAAAGAAGAACTCTAACAAACAAAAGAAAAGAGTTAATGTCTCGCTGTAGTGAAGATCGTAGCAAGCTTTCAGTCAAGGTCATCCAGCGCCCAAGGCACCACTGTGTCCAGGGCAGCCCACCCCTTGTCCCGCCCCTGCTTCCAATGTAGAAGACCCCTTTTGTCAGTTTAAAGAGCAGGCAGTAATAGTGTTGATGCATATCTGGGGCCCCCTGCTACGGATCTGCCATGGAGAGTTATTTATCCATTCCTGGTCTGCCCCCCTTTGAGAAGGGTGGACTAAAGGGTGGTCTCAGCAAAGAATAACAAAAAAAAAACAAATAGTTAATGTCTCGCTGTAGTGAAGATCATAGTAGGGTTTCAATCAGTGCCGGGACAAGGTCATCCAGTGCCAAAGGCACCACTGTGTCCAGGGCAGTCCACCCCTTGTCCCGGCCCTGGTTCAAATGTAGAAGACAGGGGCGGACTGACCATTGCGGCACTTGGGCACTGCCCGAGGGCCCGGGGTCAGTAGGGGGCCCCATTAGATGCCCCTGGTACCTCTCATAGACTGTTTTGGGTGTGGTTTGAGTGTGGGGGCGAAGACACAGGGGCCCCATGATCCCCTATTGCCCGGGGGCCCCATGAGTTGCCAGTCCGCCCCTGGTAGAAGACCCCTATTGTCAATGTAAAGAACAGGCAGTAATAGTGTTGATGCATATCTGGAGCCCCCTGCTACGGATCTGCCATGGGGAGGGATTTATCCAGTCCTGGTCTGCCCCCCCCCCCTTTGAGAAAGGGTGGGCTAAAGGGTGGTCTCAGCAAAGAAGAACTCTAACAAACAAAAAAAAAGAGTTAATGTCTCTCTGTAGTGAAGATCGTAGTAAGCTTTCAATCAGGGCCGGGACAAGGTCATCCAGCGCCCAAGGCACCACTGTGTCCAGGGCAGCCGCCCCTTCTGCCCACCCCTTGTCCCGGCCCTGCTTCCAATGTAGAAGACCCCTTTTGTCAATGTAAAGAACAGGCAGTAATAGTGTTGATGCATATCTGGAGCCCCCTGCTACGGATCTGCCATGGGGAGGGATTTATCCAGTCCTGGTCTTCTCCCCTGTGAGAAAGGGTGGGCTAAAGGGTGGTCTTAGCAAAGAAGAGCTCTAACAAAAAAAACAAAGTTAAAATCTCGCTGTAGTGAAGATCGTAGTAAGCTTTCAATCAGGGCCGAGACAAGGTCATCCAGCGCCCAAGGCACCACTGTGTCCAGGGCAGCCGCCCCTTCTGCCCACCCCTTGTCCCGACCCTGCTTCCAATGTAGAAGACCCCTTTTGTCAATGTAAAGAACAGGCAGTAATAGTGTTGATGCATATCTGGAGCCCTCTGCTACGGATCTGCCATGGGGAGGGATTTATCCAGTCCTGGTTTGTCCCCCCCCCTAGGTACCTACCCTGTTATCTCATCACTCTTATTCCCTTTCCAGGAACTGATGAGCACCCTGCAGTGTCAGCAGATGGCCCTGGAGTGTATCGTCTCCCTGGGACAAGAGATCCTGTCCGCCTGCCACCCCGACTCCATCATCACCATCAAATCCTGGCTGAACATCTGTAAGACGCGCTACCAGGAGGTAAGTGGGCCTCCGGGAGCTGATGGAGCCTGTTTTTGAAAGATGGGGAAATAACCGACTTACCTAAAGTTTGACCATCGCGTTTTCCATACACACATATAAACAAATACATAACATTTATATTTATATATTGTTTATGTAATAATTTTTGTTATTTTTTTACTGTTTCATTGTTATTGGTGTGTCTATATGCACAATTTTTTTATGTTGCATCATACATCTAGGGGTCTAGTTATAAAAAAAAAAAAATGTGGTTGCGAACATCTCAAGTATTCGCTCAGCTTTCACCAAGAATCCCTGTATTCTGCATAATACAGGCATACCTCGGTTTACGAATTTAATGCGTTCTCTGGGACCTTTCGTATTGCGAAAAAAATTCGTAAACCGAAATGCGGTTTCCCATAGGAATGCATTGGAAAACCAATTAATCTGTTCCGGAGGTCAGAAAAAAGTAAAAAAAAAAAGTCTTTTTATCTGTTCAAAACTCTTTATAAAGTGCACTTTAAAGGCATAAACACTGTACAGGGACATAAGAAAAAAAATTGTAAATGCATTGAAAACCAAAGAATCCGTTCCGGAGGTCAGAAAAAAGTTTTTAAAAAGTCGCTGTCACTATAGGTCAGTTCTGCTTTTTTAAATGTAATTACCGTCTTTTTTTTTCTTCACTGTAGCTCAGAGAATCAGCTGTCACTTTCCCGCCCAGCTAAAAGAAACAAAGTTTCCTTTTAGTTTATTTTCCCCCAGTTAAAAGAAACAATGTTTCCTTTTAGTTTCTTAAAAGAAACAAAGTTTCCTTTAGCTCTGGGGGAAAGTGACAGCTAATTCTGTGAGCTATAGTGAAGAAAAAAAAAGCCGGCAATTGCATTTATAAATCGGCACCTGCATACATTTCGTATTGCGAAAAAAATTCGTAAACAATTCGTAAACGGAAACGCGGTTTCCCATAGGAATGCATTGAAAACCAATTAATCCGTTCCGGAGGTCAGAAAAAAGTAAAAAAAAGTATTTTATCTGTTTAAAACTGTTTACAAAGTGCACTTTAAAGGCATACAGTCAGGTCCATAAATATTGGGACATGGACACAATTCTAACATTTTTGGCTCTATACACCACCACAATGGATTTGAAATGAAACGAACAAGATGTGCTTTAACTGCAGACTGTCCGCTTTAAATTGAGGGTATTTACATCCAAATCAGGTGAACGGTGTAGGAATTACAACAGTTTGCATATGTGCCTCCCACTTTTTAAGGGACCAAAAGTAATGGGACAATTGGCTTCTCAGCTGTTCCAGGGCCAGGTGTGTGTTATTCCCTCATTATCCCAATTACAATGAGCAGATAAAAGGTCCAGAGTTCATTTCAAGTGTGCTATTTGCATTTGGAATCTGTTGCTGTCAACTCTCAAGATGAGATCCAAAGAGCTGTCACTATCAGTGATGCCATCAGTAGGCTGAAAAAAGGAGGCACATATGCAAACTGTTGTCATTCCCTACACCGTTCACCTGATTTGGATGTAAATACCCTCAAATTAAAGCTGGCAGTCTTCAGTTAAAGCACATCTTGTTCATTTCATTTCAAATCCATTGTGGTGATGTATAGAGCCAAAAATATTAGAATTGTGTCCATGTCCCAATATTTATAGACCTGACTGTAAATACTGTACAGGGACATGATAAGAAAGAAATGTGTATATGGATTGAAAACCAATTAATCCGTTCCAGACATCAGAAAAAAGTCGCTGTCACTATAGGTCAGTTCTGGTTTTTAAATGTAATTACCAGCTTTTTTTTTTTTTCTTCACTATAGCTCAGAGAATCAGCTGTCACTTCCCCCCCAGCTAAAAGAAACAAAGTTTCCCTTTAGTTTATTTTGAGTTAAAAGAAACAATGTTTCCTTTTAGTTTCTTAAAAGAAACAAAGTTTCCTTTAGCTCCGGGGAAAGTGACAGCCAGGGGCGGACTGACAACTCATGGGGCCCCCGGGCAATAGGGGATCATGGGGCCCCTGTGTCCTTGCCCAAACTCAAACTCTTCTCTTTCTAGGAATCATGGGAGACACTAAGAACCATCTCTACTAGGAAACACTGGGAATCTTCGCTACTAGGAGTCACTGGGGACGCTAGGAATCTTCATCTCTAGGGAACACTGGGGGTATTCTAGGAATCTTCTACGCTAGGTAACACTTGGGGGGACACTCAAAATCTTCTGTGCTAAGAAACACAAGGGGGGGTACTATAGAAATCTTCTACTCTAGGTCAGGGGTGGACTGACAACTCATGGGGCCCCCGGGCAATAGGGGATCATGGGGCCCCTGTGTCCTTGCCCAAACTCAAAAAAGCCTATGAAAAAGGTACCAGGGGCATCTCATGGGGCCCCCTACTGACCCCGGGCCCTCGGGCAGTGCCCGAGTTTCCAAATGGTCAGTCCGCCCCTGGTGATAGCTTATTCTGTGAGCTATAGTGAAGAAAAAAAAAAAAAGCCGGCAATTGCATTTAAAAATCGGCACTGACATACAATTTGTATTGCAAAAAAAATTTTGTAAAAAATTCGTAAACCGAGACATTATTTTCAATGGATTTTCATTCGTAAACCGAAAATTACATTAACCGAGGCGTTCGTAAACCGAGGTACATGTATGTTTATTTGCCATCTAGTGGCCATAACGCAGCATTTTCCCGATTGAGGTATTTCAGGAAAACAGACAATTATGGCCACCAGATAGAGCTGACAGTAATAGGAAAGAAACATACTAGGCAAACGACAGGATTATTTGCGACCCTTTGAGATCTGGTGTATTTTTGCTATAAAAGTCTGACATGGGGAGCTGTGACGTAGCCGTGACCTGTCACCAGAACATGCCTTTCAGCACCAATCTTCCTGTGTGTTTTAGGCATGATGTATATCTGTAAAAGCCTCCCTTGTGTGGACTTATGAAAGGTCTAAGACTACTGCTGTGTGCTGGTGTCGCCATCTTGATTGTGAGGTCAGCCTCCCCCCTATGGCTATCAATTTTGCTCCTCCCTGGAACTACATAAAATGTTATGCAGAGAGGAGGAGCAAAGGAGCTGGGCCAGCACAGAATGTGATTAGACAGTCCCAGAAGAGCAAAGGGCTATGATATGCATGGAGGGAGGTGGCTGTGCTAGGGAAATTACTATTCCTGGAGTAGTCAATTTTTCTAGCAAGTTCAAAGGAACATTGAATGTAAATACAAATACATTCACTTTCTTTTTTGGTTCTGTTTTTCCTAATCCGGTGTAACTGGAAACTTGGGGTTGGTGCAGTGTAGTCCCGTAGACTATGGAGCTGTCCACCTATCATGGCCCCCACCTCCAACTGGAAACTTGGGGTTGGTGCAGTGTAGTCCCGTAGACTGTGGAGCTGCCCACCTATCATGGCCCCCACCTCCAACTGGAAACTTGGGGTTGGTGCAGTGTACTCCCGTAGACTGTGGAGCTGCCCACCTATCATGGCCCCCACCTCCAACTGGAAACTTGGGGTTGGTGCAGTGTAGTCCCGTAGACTATGGAGCTGCCCACCTATCATGGCTCTCACCTCCAACTGGAAACTTGGGGTTGGTGCAGTGTAGTCCCGTAGACTATGGAGCTGCCCACCTATCATGGCCCCACCTCCAACTGGAAACTTGGGGTTGGTGCAGTGCAGTCCCGTAGACTGTGAAGCTGCCCACCTATCATGGCTCTCACCTCCAACTGGAAACTTGGGGTTGGTGCAGTGTAGTCCCGTAGACTATGGAGCTGCCCACCTATCATGGCCCCACCTCCAACTGGAAACTTGGCGTTGGTGCAGTGTAGTCCCGTAGACTGTGAAGCTGCCCACCTATCATGGCCCCCACATCCAACTGGAAACTTGGGGTTGGTGCAGTGTAGTCCCGTAGACTATGGAGCTGCCCACCTATCATGTCCCCCACGTCCAACTGGAAACTTGGGGTTGGTGCAGTGTAGTCCTGTAGACTATGGAGCTGCCCACCTATCATGTCCCCCACGTCCAACTGGAAATTTGGGGTTGGTGCAGTGTAGTCCCGTAGACTGTGGAGCTGCCCACCTATCATGTCCCCCACCTCCAACTGGAAACTTGGGGTTGGTGCAGTGTAGTCCCGTAGACTGTGGAGCTGCCCACCTTTCATGGCCCCACCTCCAACTGGAAACTTGGCATTGGTGCAGTGTAGTCCCGTAGACTGTGAAGCTGCCCACCTATCATGGCCCCCACCTCCAACTGGAAATTTGGGGTTGGTGCAGTGTAGTCCCGTAGACTGTGGAGCTTCCCACCTATCATGGCCCCCACCTCCAACTGGAAACTTGGGGTTGGTGCAGTGTAGTCCCATAGACTGTGGAGCTGCCCACCTATCATGGCCCCCACCTCCAACTGGAAACTTGGGGTTGGTGCAGTGTAGTCCCATAGACTGTGGAGCTGCCCACCTATCATGGCCCCACCTCCAACTGGAAACTTGGGGTTGGTGCAGTGTAGTCCCATAGACTGTGGAGCTACCCATCTATTATGGTCCCCAACTTTATATTCCGCATAATCTCCAGAAACATAAGGATGGTGGTTTTGTGACTGTATTAGTGGGAGATAAACCGTAGTTACCAGCAGTCTATTTTCCTGTAATCCCACATTTACAACTGAATCTATGAGTCTGGATATCACACTGACAGCTGATGATTGTTTGTCTCTTTTTAGGTGGTGTCCTGGGCTAAGCAGCAGGGAGGCCGCATCCAGGCACAAATTCAATCCTTGGCAGCAGAAACGTGAGGAGGTCGCTCGTCTTATGGACTGGATAACGGCTGCAGAGGAAGCGTTGAGCTTACGAGATCAGGAGCCCCTGCCAGAAGACATGGATGCCTTGGGCGAGATCATCTCACAACACTCAGTAATATCCCTCACTGTAATATGAACATGACAACCAACCACTGTACATCTCATATCACAGGACAACCAACCATCGTACATCTCACATCACAGGAGAACCGTCCATCCTACATCTCACATCACAGGAGAACCGTCCAGCCTACATCTCACATTACAATACAACCATCCTTCCTACATCTCACATCGCAGGACAACCATCCATCCTACATTTCACATCATAGGACAACCATCCATCCTACATCTCACATCACAGGACAACCGTCCATCCTCCATCTCAGATCACAGGACAACCATCCTTCCTACATCTCACATCGCAGGACAACCATCCATCCTACATCTCACATCATAGGACAACCATCCATCCTACATCTCATATCACAGGACAACCGTCACATCTCACATCACAGGACAACCGTCCATCCTACATCTCACATCACAGGAGAACCGTCCAGCCTACATCTCACATTACAATACAACCATCCTTCCTACATCTCACATCCAGGACAACCATCCATCCTACATCTCACCTCCATCTCAGATCACAGGAGAACCATCGTCCAGCCTACATCATCACATGAACCGTCCATCCTACAACATACAAGACAACCATCCTTCCTACATCTCACATCGCAGGACAACCATCCATCCTACATTTCACATCATAGGACAACAACCGTCCATCCTCCATCTCAGATCACAGATCACAGGACAACCATCCATCCTACATCTTACATCACAGATCAGCCGTCCATCCTACATTTCTCATCACAGGAGAACCGTCCATCCTACAAGGACATCTCACATCACAAGACAACCATCCTTCCTACATCTCACATCGCAGGACCAACCCTATCCATCCTACATCTCACATCACAAGACAACCATCCTTCCACTCTCACATCACCAACCATCACATCACAGGACAACCGTCCATCCTACATCTCACATCGCAGGACAACCATCCATCCTACATTTCACATCATAGGGACAACCATCCATCCTACATCTCACATCACAGGACAACCGTCCATCCTCCATCTCAGATCACAGGACAACCGTCCATCCTACCTCAATTACAGAGCATCCATCCTACATATCTCACATCCAGGACAACCATCCATCCTACATCTCACATCAAAAGACAACTGTGCATCTTACATCTCAGATTACAGAACAACCATCCATCCTACATCTTACATCACAGATCAGCCGTCCATCCTACATCTCACATCACAGGAGAACAGTCCATCCTACATCTCATCACAGGAGAACTGTCCATCCTACATTTCACACCACAGGAGAACCGTCCATCCTACATCTCACATCACAAGATAACCATCCTTCCTATACCTCACATCACAGGACAACCGTCCATCCTACATCTCACATCACAGGACAAAAGTACATCCTACATCCCACTTAATAGGTCAACTGGCTATCCTACATGTCACATGACAGGTCCATGAACCATCTTCTCTGTCACGTGTCCTGATATTTAATTCTTAGATTTTTCTAACTTTTTATCATATTTTATTGAGACTCATGTCTTTTTTTTTTGGACAGTTATATAAGCAATAAAAGTGAAATGTATCCACCTGACTCATTGTAGGTTTTTATGGAGGAGCTGAGCCGGAAGGAGCCTGAGGTGGAGAAAGTCACCAAGAACTGTAAGCGTAAAGTGACTGATACACGAGCAACAAGTACACGCAAGACCATTACCAGTGAGTGACCCAACCAAATAAACAAGGCACATACACTAACCAGAGAGATTTTCCACTATATACTTTCGTTTCCACTTGCATGTTCTACTTGCTCCCCATCTCTCCATTCTATTGTAGGAGAGTTGGCTTGTTTGTTTGGGGGTTTGCTCTATCAGTCCACATCCTGAGCTGCTTATGGTGCAGTTTTGCTGTCTGTAGTGGAGTTCGGATGTAATTACTGTTTGTTGTTTCAGAAAGACAAAACTCGGTGAAATCGCCCCAAGCTGGCCCCTCCATTCCTCTCCTGGACCTCGCCCCACAAACCCCACACATGGCACAGCTCCTCAACCGCTGGCAGCAACTCTGGCTCCTCACCTTGGACCGCCAGTGCCGCCTTCAGAATGCCCAACAGAGGCTCCATGAGGTGAGCACGTCCAATGTCTGTACACCCAGGGTGGTAATACGACTCAAAATGGTTATTTTAGAGGTTCAAAGTATATCACCTCTGGAATCGCCAGTGAAAATGGAAACATTGCTATAAGATTGTGCCATGATTTTCACATTGTATGTGCAGCCAAAAATGTTCTTTCCAGTTTTGGATAGTTAAAGGATTTGACCACCTGCCAGGTTCCCACTACTCAAAATTATAAATCTAAATTTCGGGAGGGGGACTGCTACAAAGCAATTTCAGGCAGTCTGATGGTTTTACTGGAACCACATCCTCTGTTAATGAACCAATTCCCTACCAACCAAAAACAAATCGGATTTTCAAGGTACCACACCATGTGTAAAAAGAACTTTCTATATATGTATTATACAAAATGTATTATTTATTTATTTCAGGTACTTATATAGCGCCGTCAATTTGCTCAGAGCTTTACATATACAGTGGGGCAAAAAAGTATTTAGTCAGCCACCAATCAAGTTCTCCCACTTACAAAGATGAGAGAGGCCAGTAATTGGCATCATAGGGAGACCTCAACTATGAGAGACAAAATGAGAAAACAAATCCAGACAATCCCATTGGCTGATCTGGAAAGAATTTATTTGCAAATTATGGTGGAAAATAAGTATTTGGTGAATATGAAAAGTTCATGTCAATACTTTGTTATATATCCTTTGTTGGCAATGACAGAGGTCAGACGTTTCCTGGAAGTCCTCACAAGGTTGGCACACACTGTTGCTGGTATGTTGGCCATCCTCCATGCAGATCTCCCACTCTAGAGCAGTGATGTTTTGGGGCTGTCGCTGGGCAACACGGACTTTCAACTCCTCCAAAGGTTTTCTATGGGGTTGAGATCTGGTGACTGGCTAGGCCACTCTTACGAAGCCACTCCTTCGTTGCCCCATGGGCGGTATGTTTGGGATCATTGTCATGTTGGAAGACCCAGCCACGTTTCATCTTCAATGCCCTTGCTGATGATGAAGAGGTTTGCACTCAAAAAATCACGATACATGGCCCCTCATTCATTCTGTCCTGTACATGGATCAGTCGTCCTGGTCCCTTTGCGGAGAAACAGCCCCAAAGCATGAAGTTGCCACCCCCATGCTTCACAGTTGGTATGGTGTTCTTTGGATGCAACTCAGCATTCTCTCTCCTCCAAACACGACGCGTTGTGTTTCTACCAAACAGTTCTATTTTGGTTTTATCTGACCATATCACATTCTCCCAATCCTCTTCTGGATCATCCAAATGCTCTCTAGCAAACTTCAGACGGGCCCGGACATGTACTGGCTTAAGCAGAGGGACACGTCTGGCACCGCAGGATCTGAGTCCCTGGCGGCGTAGTGTGTTACTGATGGTAGCCCTTGTTACGTTGGTCCCAGCTCTCTGCAGGTCATTCACTAGGTCCCCCCGTGTGGTCCTGGGATTTTTGCTCACCGTTCTTGTGATCATTTTGACCCCACGGGGTGAGATCTTGCGTGGAGCCCCAGATCGAGGGAGATTATCAGTGGTCTTGTATGTCTTCCATTTTCTAATTATTGCTCCCACGGTTGATTTGTTCACACCAAGCTGCTTGCCTATTGCAGATTCAGTCTTCCCAGCCTGGTGCAGGTCTACAATTTTGTTTTTGGTGTCCTTTGACAGCTCTTTGGTCTTCACCATAGTGGAGTTTGGAGTGTGACTGTTTGAGGTTGTGGACAGGTGTCTTTTATACTGATAACAAGTTCAAACGGTTGCCATTGATACAGGTAATGAGTGCAGGACAGAGGAGCCTCTTAAAGAAGAAGGTACAGGTCTGTGAGAGCCAGAAATCTTGCTTGTTTGTAGCTGACCAAATACTTATTTTCCACCATAATTTGCAAATAAATTCTTTCCAGATCAGCCAATGTGATTGTCTGGATTTGTTTTCTCATTTTGTCTCTCATAGTTGAGGTCTCCCTATGATGCCAATTACAGGCCTCTCTCATCTTTTGGCAGAACTTGCACAATTGGAGGCTGACTAAATACTTTTTTGCCCCACTGTATAAACGATGAATCCCAAATGCGGGATGATCACAAATCAAAGTGACAAGTGCTTAAAATGATAAACACATAAAATATTCACATGTGAATCAGATAAAAAATAGTGAATAGATCAATAATATAAATAAACGTCTAATGAAGTGCAAAAATTGCAGATAAGGTGCTTCACTATTCCAGGACATGCAGATGGTGCAGTGTATGTGCACACCAAACAGATCCTTCAATGGCTAAAATGCCCCCTCACCTCCATCATACGACCCAATGGGCCAATACACCTTTTGGATCACAACTGGACCCTTCACGGGTAAGATCTCCTTGCTATCCGATCTACAGAGACTCTTCCCTCACTGGCGCGACACACAGCATAAAAGATATCCCTTCCACTGGGTAGGTAAATAGGTAACCTCAATACAGCCAACTTACTTACATGTAGCTCATGAAAGAAGAAGAGAAATCCTCCATAGTGCAACACTGTTTATTCCATTGTATGTACAGTTGTGTTGAAAATACTAGCAGTCAGACATCACTAACCGGATCAATCACTGTTTTTGGTGGAAATGATATCTCTACATGGCAAATAATTTCCTAGCAGGTGTAGTAGAGTCATAGAAATCCAACAGACCCAACAGTCATGACATGCATGCTGCTGATTCTGTGTCATTGAATCACTCATTGAAAGGGGCGTGTTCAAAATAATAGCAGTGTGGAGTTCTATTAGTGAGGTCATTCATTCTTTGAACAACAGGTGGCAATTATTGCCCTTATTTAAGGAAGGAAGGCAGCAAATGTTGGACATGCTGGTTACAGTGCATTTACAGTGCATTTACAGTGAAATTATGAGGAAAATGGGTCGTTCCAGACATTGTTCAGAAGAACAGCGTACCTTGATTAAAAAGTTGATTGGAGAGGGGAAAACATATAAAGAAGGGCAGAAAATGATCGGCTGCTCAGCTAAAACGATGGCAAATGCTTTAAAATGGCGACCAAAACCTGAAAGACGTGGAAGAAAGCGAAAAACTGCCATTGGAATGGATAGAAGAATAGCCAAAATGGGGCGGACTCAGCCAACAATCAGCTCCAGGAAGATGAAAGAAGGTGTGACGTTCCCTGTGAGGACTGTTACAATCAGAAGACGCCGATGTGAAGCCAAGCTATCTGCAAGAAGTCCCCGCAAAGTCCCACTGTTGGGAAAAAGACGTGTGCTGAAGAGGTTACAATTTACCAAAGAGCACATTGACCGGCCTAAAGAGAAATGGCGCAACATTTTGTGGACTGATGAAAGTAAGATTGTTCTTTTTGGGTCTAGTGGCGGAGACAGTTTGTCAGACGACCCCCAAACACTGAATTCAAGGCACAGTACACTGTGAAGATCGTGAAGCATGGTGGTGCAAGCATCATGATATGGGGATGTTTCTCATACTACGGTGTTGGGCCTATTTATCGCATACCAGGGATCATGGATCAGTTTGAATCCATCAGAATACTTGAAGAGGTCATGCTGCCTTATGCTGAAGAGGAAATGCCCTTGAAATGGGTGTTCCAACAAGACAACGACCCCAAACACACCAGTAAACGTGCAACATCTTGGTTCCAGACCAACAAGATGGATGTTATGGAGTGGCCAGCCCAATCCCCGGATCTTCATCCAATAGAAAACTTGTGGGGTGACATCAAAAATGCCGTTTCTGAGGCAAAACCAAGAAATAGAGAAGAACTGTGGAATGTGGTCCAATCATCCTGTGCTGGAATACCTGATCACAGGGGCCAGAAGTTGGGGGACTCCATGCAACACAGATGTACAGCAGTTCTCAGAAACAGTGCGACTACAACCAAATATTCATGAAGTCATTCAAAGGAAAGCAAAATCTTCAAACATTTCTCAGTTGATATAGTGAATGTTGGAGTTTGTAAAGAAGAATACAAACACTGCGATTATTTTGAACCGTCTAATATTCACTTTTCTTCCATTTTTTTAGAGGAACAACACAAATTGGATGTATTTTTCTTCATGTTGTGATTTGGAATAGAATGTGTCGTGTTCCCAATGCATTTGTGTGGATGGAAATAAAAGCTATTAGAAGGATTTTGAGCTTTATGCACTTTTTTCAACACACTGCGATTATTTTGAACACAACTGTAGATGAAAAAACGCCAAGTTAGGACCCTAATTTTGTTAAAGAGTCCACCCTGTTTCTGGTTGGGATTTGAACCAGCAACCCTAGTACTGCCAGGCAGAAGTGCTAACCATTAAGCTACTGTGCTGCCCATACTGATGGATGAACTCTTCATCAAGGTCAGCAGATGGATGTCTTTTCCTAAGCCGTTCCTTTCCATATTTCACCCAATTTTCTTTCTAGTTTTAACATTTCAAAACAGACAACATTGAGATATTGTTAAAAGCAACACAATCTATTCATGTGCCAGCCATTTACGTTTACATCCCATAATGATCATGGTGGGGGGGAAGGGCTTTCTGAGCAGTCATCCCCAACGCGTTTCGTAGGATGGGCCTGCTTCTTCAGGGAGAACTGGCATTTCTTTTTCTGTTGCAGAAATTCATAAAGCCTACAGATAGAAAGAGCCACAAACATCATACAAATTGGGGGACCTGAGTTATTCCAAGAGATTATTATTATTATTATTATTATACAGTATTTATAAAGCGCCAATAGTTCGCTCAGCGCTGTACATTACAAAGGGGGACAGAACATGTGACAGAACAATACCAATACAATGCAAAACATGAGGGGATCGAGGGCCCTGCTCTTTCGAGCTTACAATCTAGGAGGGAGGGGATGGTGGCACAGGAGGAGATAGCTGTGGGGGATGGGGTGGTAGGAAGAGTGGAGGAGGTCGGCAGTTAGCAGGGGGTGGGGTAGGCTTCCCTGAAGAGATGGGTTTTCAGGGTGCGCCTAAAGGAGAGGAGAGTAGGTGATAATCTGATGGGTTGGGGCAGG